CGCGGCGGTACAAGCGGGCCAGCTCCGGTTCTAACACGGCACTTCCTGTGCGCTGCGGTGCGGATCCTCGCCCAGTTTCTGCGCACAGAGGCTGAGGATGGCCTGATCTGGTTTGGCGCCCAAGGCTGCATGGGGCGGGGCGGCCCAAGTAGGTTGGCTCGCGTTCGCCGAGTTTCTGCGTGCGGCGGTGACAAGTCCGATCCTGGTAGTGTGTGTGGCTTGTTTCTGCCCAATGATGCTGGTAGGCCTCGGATCCAGTTGGTAAAGGCTCGGCTTCGGATGAAAATCCTGCATTGATCTGGTCAGTGCCGACGGTAACAGCGTGTACGGATGTCGTCTTCCTCTTTGGAGGTACCGCCGTGAAGCTCGTTTGCTCTTTGTACCTCGTAGCTTGTGGTCTCTGGGTAAAAACCTTAGATTTGTTATGCCAGATCGGGTAACGGTGTTGTCCTTGACAATACTCCCTCCTTGGAGGCGTTACCTTAGAGACCCAACAATGGTTTTCGTTGGTGTGCATGGCTTGTTTGGTGGTGCTTGGGTTTGTGGTGGTGCCGGCATTTTTTTTTCTTTTTGCACTAGCCCTTGCTGTGCTTTCCTCCTCGGAGGGTTCTTTAAACACTTCTTCTGATCAATGAATTTGGCAGCTCTACTGCCAACATTCGCAAAAAAAAAAAACTGTGTGTCTCTTGAATATGTCACCTTTTGCTGATTTTCTTCTTTTTGCCGAGTACGTTTTACGTGCATCTCGGTGACGTCCCGTCTTTGCCGTGCTCCATTGTTTGCCGAGCTCGGCTCTTGGTGGACGACTTCTTTGCCGCCAAAAGATTTGGCGTAGAAGTTTAGTTTTTTCTAGTAGTGACGTGGGCAGCGGATTGGATTTACGTGGTAAGGTGTTCTCTTTACCACTAATCTCCCCCTTATTTTGACCGCGGGCCTCTCCTGATTTTCATTGTCTGCCAAACCATCTCTCCGCAAATTTAACTCTGGTAAGAAACTTTTCATAGGTGTTGCATTACTGGTCGATACGACGGATCCTCTATGTGACCAACAGTGCTCCTGGAGTCGTGGTTACACTAGCTAGAGTGCAACTGTGCAAGAATGAAGCACGTGAGTAGTTAGCTATTCGTTTGTCTTATCAGTAGTCGGCTACTCCCTCTCCCCATTCAACGATGGGGGTGTGGTCAGATCATCCCTTTTATTTTATCATGGGAGGAGCTGGTGGCTTGATTCAGCTTTCCAGTAGGCTTGCTCCCTTCATTCGTCTAAGTAATTA